CAAGCTTCAACCAGCTCGGAAAATTTCATTTTTCATGGTCTTTTTTCAATTTTTCCATACTTTCTCCGGTGTCTAGAGGAAAACAAACTTTACCACGTGATTCTACGGTATGAAATCTATAAGAAACCATTTGTAGTTTTGGTTCCACACCATGAGCCAAAATTGACCTATATTTAACATCCTTCTTTACCGTGTACTGATATAATGAACTAATTTTAAAACTGACATAGATTCGCTCAATCATCGAAACTGATTACCTTCGATGATTTCAAATAATAAACGAAGCAACAATAAACTTATTAGATAAACATTGCTAACCTACTTTCACCTCGTAATACATTATCAGCGAAATTGTTATTAATAATGAATCAGTTATTTCTAATCATAGAACATACTGACAAAGTTTAATTTAACTTTGTAACACCTTGTATATTAGATATATAAAATTGATTTTGTAAATGATGAATGTATGACAATACCGTTTTTTTTTCTAATTTTAGACAAGTGATTTATTGTTTTCATCGCACAACGTTCTAGTGAATTTGACTCATAATAAAATACAACATATCCTTTTACACGATGCCAAAAATATCACAAAAAAACTCGAACAAAATATACAAACAAAAACTGATCGCAACATTAGAGTATTAGTAGAAAATAATCCGTTAAGTTGTGACTGTGACGTGTACGATTTTCTACGTTATTACAAAGGCGATATGCGTAACGTTCAAAATTATTTTCAGATAGAATTAAACAATTTAATTTGTCATAGTCCGAAAGAATTGAAAAAAGTACGGTTGTATTCTAGAAATTTAACCTGTAAAATACAAAACACAGATTCCATTACTATATGCCCCGAAAAGTGCGATTTCTTTTTGAAGCCTTATGATAAAGCTTTCATATTTGACTGTTCTCATAAAAACTTAACTAATGTGCCAAACAATATAACAGAACCTAACATTCAGTTTATTCAAAATTTAACAAAATCGGTTAACACAATTTCGCAATTTTATTTGAATTTCTCCTATAATCGGTTAACACAAATGCGAGACTTGGAAAAATTAGAACTCAGATTAGCGAATAAACTTTTTTTATCTCACAACAACATATCTACTATTTCCGAAAATAAATTATCGGAGATCACAAAGATGCGTAATTTAATTGTATTTTATATAAGAATAATTTATACAAAAAGAAATTAACGAAACTGTTAGAAACGTACTACGAAAACAAATTCGAAATGTCTAATTAATAAAATTTAACAAATTAATTTTAAATTTTTTTCACAAATAACTATATATAATAATCTATAAAATATATGTATATATGTATATATGTATATATGGTAGAAATATAAAATTATAAAAATTATTTATCCTTAAAAGTATTATAAAAGAATGTTAAACTTTACTATTAAAATTGAATCATATTGAACATACACACATTTCAGGATTTGGAGCTACACAATAACAATTTATCAAGAATACATCCTGATGTGCTGAGATTTTGGAACAACTCTGCCAATTTAACTCATTTGACGTTACATGAAAATCCTTGGGAATGCGACTGTGATGCTAGAAATATTTATAAATTTATTCATTCAGAATCCGGAATAATCAAAATGCCCGAAGTTTATAAAGTAATATCCCGAGTCGAAATTTAGCACCTATATTGAACCTTAATCTTTTATTTTGAGGTAGGCATAAGAGAGTCAAAGTAGGTGTTATGCATTGTATCGTATGTATATAATAGCACCTACTTTGGCGCTACAATATGTCCGAAATTTCCCTTTTTCCTGCTAAAGCTTCAAAGTAGGGTTTAGTTAAAACCCTCCGTTGACCCGCTTTAGACCCTGAAAATATATAGATTCCTTTTTGCCAGCACTACTTTTATGATATTATCAAGAAATTCTAATGATTGCAAATGTTCACAATAAAGAAAAATACTAACTATAATTTTGATTAACGATAATTTTTAATAGCATACAATTTAAAAATATCATTAATCAATACCATTTAGTTGAATTTTATTATCTTTTGAAAATTTGTAATTATTAGAAATTTCTTGATAATATCAAAATATAATATCAAAATTCAACTATTGAGTATTAATTTCTAATATTTTTAAAAATTCTATGTTATTAAAAATT